TGCTTAGTTGCTGGGGGCTGGGGTTAAAACACGACACCATGAGTCTTCAGTTACTGTCCTTCCTGAAAAACCCAGTGTGAAGAATATCATCTATAAATTTAATCGGGGCTTACGTTGGGAGCATTGCATGATTTAGACAAATCAGAAGGAAAGTGCTAATTCATTTTCTGAATCGGGGCTTAAGATGAGAACACTAAACGTGAGCATTCCAGTCATTGTGGTCTTTGGTAAATAGCTTCTGCCTCTGAATTCCTGCGAGACACTTAAACGAAAGACGGTGTGAAGTCGTCTGTATTTGTGTGGTTTCTTCAGTATAATCTAAGTTTGCTGTGAGGATGCAACTTGTTTATGCAATTGTTCCTCTTCAGTGATTTATGCTGTGGCTGGCCTTCCTGGATGTTTTTAGTCCTGGAGAACTTTGATTTCAGTCTATTTTTCTTATTTGTGACCTACTTCTACAGTAGAGTTTGAGGATGTATTTTCCTTTTGGGGATTTTCTAAAAATGAAGCTATTCTAAACACCTTTACTGAAGTAAGGTGTGGTGTGTTTCGGGTTTTGGTTTGTTTTTTCCTTGCTCATCTAGGGAAAATGTTTCATCTGATATTTCAGCAGCTCACTGTGGGCTATTATTTTGATAACTATTTTCTGCGACGCAAGATGTTATTTGCCTCCTGGAGTTTCAGCACTCTGGAAGAAAGCTATTTAATGTGAAGGATTTCACGGTCAGATTTCAAATGATGGCAAAGCAGTCTACAGTGACTGTTTCTGAAATAGGCAGGATTCATAATTTGCAGGCAATACACATTCCTCTTCAGAATGTAGAACCAAATGAGCGGTAATGAATATATATTTATGCTTGAAGTTTGCTTCTAAGATGGCTTACAGAAAATCTTGTATCGGTTCTTTTCAATGTTGCCAGAAGCAGCAAAACCAGAATTGCGAGATGGAAATACTCATTCTATTTATACAATATCTAATACTTAAACTGGAAAACTAAGTTCCTAAATACCTGAGGCAATCTCATTCTGATACATTTCAGATAGAATCATAGAATCATTAAGGTTGGAAAAGACCTCTAAGATCATCAAGTCCAACCGTCAACCCAACACCACCATGCCCACTAAACCATGTATTCCAATGTTTAACCACTCTTTCAGTAAAGAAATTTTTCCTTACATCCAATCTAAACCTCCCCTGGCGCAACTTGAGGCCGTTTCCTCTCGTCCTATCACTAGTTACTTGGGAGAAGAGACCGACACCCACCTCGCTACAACCTCCTTTCAGGTAGTTGTAGAGAGCGATGAGGTCTCCCCTCAGCCTCCTTTTCTCCAGGCTAAACAACCCCAGCTCCCTCAGC